TGTAGAAATTTCTTCACATATCAGGACATTGACCCATTTCTGATTATAGTGTTCTGTGCTAAGAAATATAGCGTAATTATAAAGCAGAACCATCCCCAACTATATTATCCCAGCCAAGGCTTTGTCTATCCAGGTCTTAAAACCTCGAAGGATGGAGATTCCACCACTTCTCTGGGTAACCTGCTCCAGTGATTTACTACGCTCCTTGTGAGGAAGATTTTCCTAATATCCAACCTAAACTTCCCTTGCTGCAACTTGAAACAATTGCTCCTTGTTCTTGTCACCTGCCGCCACTGAGAACAGTCCAGCTCCATCCTCTTTGTACCATCCTTCACTTACTTGCAGGCTGCTATTAAATCTCCTCTCAGTCTTCTCTTCTCCAGACTAAATAAGCCCAGTTCCTTCAACCTCTCTTCAGAAGTCATGTGCCTCAGCCCCTTAACTAATTTTGTTGCCCTCTGCTGGACTCTCTTCAATTTGTGCACATCCTTTCTGTAGTGGGGGAGGAGAGGGGGGGCAGAAATGGACACACTACTCCAGATGTGGCCTCACCAGTGCTGAATAGGGGAAAATAATCACTTCCCTCAATCTGTTGGCAGCACAGCTACTAATGCATCCCAGTATGCTGTTAGCCTTCTTGGTAGTAAGGGCACACTGTTGGCTCATATTCATCTTATTGTCCACTGTGACCCCCAGGTCCTTTTCTGCAGAGGTGCTGCTTAGCCAGTCAGTTCCCAGCCTTTAGCAGTACATGGGATTGTTCTGTCCTAAGTGCAGGACTTTGCACTTGTCCTTATTGAACTTCATGAGATTTCTTTTGGTCGAATCCTCCAATTTGTCTTGGTCTCTTTGAATCCTGGCCTTACCCTCCAGTGTATCTATTACTCCCATCAGCTCAGTTTAATCTACAGATTTACTGAGGGTGCACTCCTCATCCCATCTTCCAGGTCATTGATGAAAATATTGAGCAAAACTGACCTCAGGACCAACCCCTGAGTCACTTGACTTGATACAGGCTGTCAACTAGATATCAAGCCATTGACTACTACCCTTTGAGCTTGACGATCCAGCCAGTTTTCTATCCACCTTAGAGTCCATTCATCCAACCCATATTTCCTTAGCTTAGTTGCAAGAATGCTGTGGGAGACTATCAAAAGCCATGCAGAAGTCAATGTATATGGTATTTTCAAACTTTTCTACTCGCAAAGGTCTTTGTAAAGTCAGAAGGGGGAGATTCATTTATTCTAGATGCTCCTTTTGGCTGCACCAAATTTAAGTTCCACTTCTGCTGAATAATTGTCACACCTGAACTTAGACATTTAGTCTTTGTACAGAGGCTATGCAGACCAGGCATACTACTTGTGGAATTTAAAACGTATTTCTCATAGCACAGGATGAAGAGCTTGTAGATTGCTCTATTAGGCATATATTTAGAACTGTTTTTATTTTTATGTCTGCATATCTGCTGGAACAGGGCAACTTAACTGGTGGGCCACAAGGGGTTAATTTGTGGCACCCAGGCTCTCTTTTCAGGTGTCACTTACTAGGCCTGTGTGAAGCCGCTAGTATTTGCTTCAGATTTACCAATTCAGGGGACACTGATTTGATTCGGTGATTTGAATCACTGTCCTGAATCGATTCAGCCGAATCTGATTGGGCCGCTGCCAAGTCGGACGAATCTCTGAATCAAACAGGCCCCATCCCCTGCCCACTTTCCCAGTCCCATCAATGGCTGTTCTGCCCGGCCCCAGCCTCCCAGCTCTTTAAAAAAAAAAAAAAAAAAAAAAGTCTGGCACTCACTGGCTGCTCCCAGGCAGGGGAGTGATCCCCACTGACCTGTGCTGCATGGTGGGCTCTATCACGAGCCCCCGCCCGCTCTCCCAGCCCCAGCTCCTGGCTCTTTAAAAAAAGAAAGAAAGAAAGAAAAAAAGCGGCAGGGGTGATCCCCACTACCACCCAGTGCCCCATGTTGCATGGGGGGCTCTGCCACGAGCCTGCAGAAGCCCCAACAGCTGCTGCAGCAGCCGGTGAGTGCAGGTTTTTCCCCCCCCCCTTTTTTTTCTTTAAAGAACTGGGAGCTGGGGCCAGGTGGGGCAGCTACTGACGGGGCTGGGAGAGTGGGCAGGGGATGGGGGTTTGTGGCACAGCCCCCCCACTCAGTGCATGGCAGTGAGGGACAACAGGGATCACATCCCCTGCCTGGCAGGAGCCAGTGAGTGCAGGGTTTTTGTTTGTTTGTATGTTTTTTTAAAGAACCAGGAGCTGGAACTGGATGGGGTAGCCACTGACAGGGCTGGAAGAGTGGACAGGGCTCAGGGGGTGCTCAGGGGAACTGAGGGAGCAGGCAGGGGATGGGGCCTGGTGGGGGGCCCCCCCCTTGTCCCCTCCCTCCACCTCCAGCGCCCCCACCCCCTACTTACCAGCACAGAGTCCGGGTCCAGATCTCTGTGGCGGCGAGTAGGGACTGCCTAAATCTCTGAAGCTCTCTGAATCTTTTCCAAATCAAATCGGAGAGCTTCAAATCGATTCGGACCTTTTTATTCATCTCCCGATTAGATTTGAATTCGGAGATTCAACTGCCAAATCGGGCCGAATCTCCTCTGAATCGAATCAGCACCCAAAGCTTCGCACAGCCCTGTCACTTACCCCATCACTCTCCTGCTTTTGCCGCTAGGGTCTCTAGGCTCCCCTCCCTCCTCTCGTTTGTTTCCTGCACCTGTCCCTGGGGTCAGAATAAGGCAAGATAGCCTGTGGGCTCAGGGTGCCTGGGATGCTCATGTGGTGCAGCACAGCACAGCTGCTCACATGTGGCCCCCAGCCACTCAGAAATTGGACAGGCCTGTGCTAAAACATCTGTTTGGGGGATGACTTGTTTGAATCATATGTGATATCAGTCATCAGAACCATTTTGCATCACATTTAGTAGTTTTAAAAGATGGGCATGTTTTTCTGGTGCTTTGGTTGTTTTTAAAAGAATAACAGAAAAGATAACATCAAGTTTCAGATGAAGTTTTGGTGAATTTAGGAGGAAACTTTATTTTTCAAATGTGAAGCTGTTCATACTCCATGCCTTTCCTGATTTAAAAATAATCAACCTAAAACAGTATTCTGTATATGGCAATAACTCATACCACATACTGGTGTAGTAGTAGTAACAGTAGTAAACTGTGCCAAATTATTATTATATAATTAATCCTTTCTTAGTGAAAAATAATAATAAATTATCATAAATGAGAATTTTTAAAGCAAACTGTGGTATTTATTTTCTTATGGATGTTTTTTCTGCTTCATTCCATTTTTTATGCCAGAGAAATACAGCTATTCAGTAGCTTTACAGTGATAAGACATGATACTACTGTTCCAAGTTCCATGAGACGGTCATTGCACTCTGTATCGCTCCTTTGATAAGATACAGTCACTAAAATAAGATGTTTTCACAGTACAAATGTTGTTTTTAAAATTAATATCTGCTTTGCTCCTGCTTTTATTTATGGTAGATAAATTCAAAGCTAAAGTATTTATCATCTTCCTGCCTGTCACACTCATATGACTATTTCATCGATTTTATAGACATTAGGGCTAGAAGGGGCCTTGGAAGATTGAGTCCAGACCCCTGCCCCAGGGGCAGGAAGCCAGCTGGGGTCACAGGATCCTAGCAAGATAAGCATCCAGTTGACTCTTAAAGGAATCCAGAGTAGGTTCTTGACTATATCTCATTCCCTTGTTTTTATCTCTGAATAAGTTAAGATTTTTAAAGAATATATTTTCATACTATATTTAAGAAGTAGTGATTTTGTATTAATAGCCAAAAGTAGAACTCTGCTACTTTAAGTAACTTCTAATATCCTTTTCATATATTTGGGTAATTATTCAGGGTTCAAGCCAAATACAGACCTGGTGTAAACAGCTTCACCTCCATTAAGTTCAGTCCTGTTCCTTCATTTATTCCTCTGCTAAGGAATTCATATATCTACTATTTAATGATGGTATATCACTTGTATACTACAGACATGGGTGTATTATAAATCAAATAAATATTCTTTTTTTTTTGGTTTTGAAATAGTTATTTCTGATCTAACTTTAAGATTAAACCTCTTCTATAAGAGAGGGCAATTTAGAGGTAAGAAAATAATTAATTTGGAAATTAAGGGTCATCACAATTTTTTCCCTTGAAAACGTTCTTGGATTTAATTTATTTTATTTTATTTTCAGGTTGTTCCTTGTCATAGAGTATGTAAATGGGGGAGACCTCATGTTTCATATGCAACGGCAAAGAAAACTTCCTGAAGAACATGCAAGGTATTCTACTGATGCATTGATGAATGTACTAATTCTCTTAGTGTTGTTACTTAGCACAACATAAAAAAATTAATTACAAAACTTAAATGACTGCAAGACATTTGCAAGGGAGATTGTGATCTTGACATTTCAAAAGTAAAAATCATGTTCTTAAGATTAGAATGCAGTGCACACTTGAGAGAGAAAGCACTTTTCTCAGGGGATATGCATTTAAAGAAAAAGCAAAACCATAAATCAGTTGATAATAAAAACCATTCATTATTACTGCTATGTATTCAGTAAACTGGTCTCTGAAATTCACTTCTGATTGAGGATTGAATTCTTTAAGTGAATCTCAATGAAGTGGTTCTGTACCAAACCTCAAATGGGGGTATAATTAAGGAGAAGTAAACGCCTCTCTTGCAAGCCTTGGCACTACAGATAAATGTCAGTACGGTAGACATGATGTAGACTTTAGTATTCTAGTCCTGAAGCTGGTTAACAGTTTGTCAGGTTCATGTAAATATTTAGAATAAAGAACAAATTTCTTCATATAATCTGATTTTATCAAATATAATAAAATTGAAAAAAAATACTTGCCATACTTAACTATAGAGAGTAGATTTACTTGTTTTGATCATAAGAGCCCCTTATGATTGAATTGGCTTTGTTATCCTCTCTCTAGGTAGAAGCTAAACTGATGTTAGCTCTTTTATTAACTGTCTTCCTTCTGTTTCAAAAATTAATTGGCATTTTCAAGTGTTACCAACTTTATATGATTCCCCTAATGGACAGGTTGGTTTTTCTCCTTTTTATTTAAGATTTTATGCTGCTGAAATTTGTATTGCTCTAAACTTTCTACATGAAAGAGGAATAATCTACAGAGATTTAAAACTAGACAATGTTCTTCTAGACGCAGAGGGTCATATCAAGTTAACAGATTATGGCATGTGCAAGGTAGGATTTTTTTTATTTCTCACTGATTTTTTTCACCAAAGTGTTTCCCTGTTTTCTTAGATATGGTTTTTCTTAAACCTTTGGTCCCCACCCTTTGCTTTGCACTGCAAGCAGCATATTATTCTGTCCCCGTCAACCTCCATTTTAATTTTCCAATTTTCTGTGGTCACAAGCAGGGTAGGAGGGTCTCATGGGCAATGTGTTGCCCAGGAGACATGCTTTGGAGACCACTGCCCCAGATGTACACAGAATAAGTCAGCCCAGAATTTGCTTCTTAAAATGCAGTTCAATCCTGAAAACTGACTTCTAAAAAATGAAACTTTCTTACTTAGCGAATTTTCTTTTCGTATGAATTCCACTTCATGCACTGACTTTTGGGCTAAAATGAGTTATTTTATTTTGCTTTTGTTAGTGCTGGAGATTCAGAAATACTATCCAAAAAGTCCTGAAAAGCTCAATGCCTTACCTTCTCATTCATTGTCAACAAATTTAACCAACAGCTAGATCTACAAAGGAACTTAGGTGTTGTGCATTAGAGCATTGCAACACCTAATATTTTAGCGCTGGCTCCCAAGAGACAAATCTCAGTCTTATGTGACTCTAGGCCTACATTATAAACTTAGAATCAAAGAGTCCTGCTTTTATATTTCCACAGTTCCATTGAAGAAATGTAATTGTCACTAGCCTTTATTTTTGGATACTGAAGTCACTGGGATTCCATGGTTGGTTAGTATTTGACCCTTGTCTTTGGTGCAGGTCAAGTCTGATATGTCCTCAATTAGAAAATTAACACTGCCCTTCTAGGGGGATGGCCTTGACTAACTTATATACTGGATATTTAATATTTACACTCCTGTGAACTTGATTTCTATTAGCCTTCTCAATTATCAGGTCTTATGGGGAAGAGGTCTTCTATATTTTTACATACACAATTTCTCTATTGAAAATTTGTAGCATGACTGCATTGGCACTGCAACGTTCTAGTATTTAATCACATCATGCAAAGTTTTGTTCCAAAATGGTTGATAAATGTGACATTTACCTTAAGGGACTCTACAAAAGGTATTAGCGGTCTCATTTAAAAATGCTGCAGTGTAAAAAGCAAAGATTGAGGAACTTGAGCAAATTAATGATTTAGAGAGACCAGAAACTTTTAAGAAACTTGCAGTGGGTATTAAAATGTTCATCTCCTCACTTGCTGGTTTTACTTCTTTGGCATACATACAGTAAGATGACTATGTCAGGCCCCTGACCTATGTTACATTTAAGATGTGATTCACCAGTCAGTCTCATCTTCAAGTGCAGCTTGGCCATACATTCAGCTGCAGCTTAAAGCGAAACCAGCCACAAAATTATTACACAAAAAGTATATAATAATGTTGTCACTGATTTCCTTCATGCCTTAAAATGAATGTGTAGCTGGGTGGACTGCATAGGGGCTTGAAAGATGGTTCCTGCCCGCCACCAACCAGCTGATTGGCAGCAGCATCAAGGTTGTACTGAGACTAGAATGGGCCCTGATACAATCCCTGCTGGTTGCTGATCAACTGATGAGAGGCAGCATCAGGGCAGCATGGGGTTTGGAATGGTGGCCAGCAGGGACTGCACCAGGGTCCATTCCAGCCCCAGTGTAGTCCTGATCCAGTTGCCAATCAGTTGAGTGGTGGCTGGCCCCACGGACTTGAATTGGCCCTGTGGGTCCCTGTAGCAAACTGACAATCAGCTGATTATCGGGCAACACTGATGCAGAGGGAGCCCAGGACCATGATCTTGGGGTCACCCTGTATTGGCAAGTAAGGTGTGATTTAGATCTGATCCATGATCCCTAAGTCGCATGTCCTGCTATGCACATGTGACATGGCAGGAGGCTCAATTGTTGGAATCAAGGATCAGATCCCATCACGCCTTTAAATGAACATCTGTCAGTGGCCTCAGGTATTTCCTTGTGACAGACGAATCCTCAAAGTAGCAGTACAGCTAGCACTTCTTTGACAATTTCAGAGAGCCTAAGGATTGGTTGGAACGTATAATTTGAAACTACCTTACCAATATTTCCTTTAGTTCATGATTAAAGCACATTAGTAATGGGGCAGTATAAAGAAGCTTACATTGTCACTTACATTGAGAAAACAAAAACTATCTTTAGTCTCAGAAAACAATTATGTTAACATACATTTAAAAAGTGTTCTTGTGTTGTTTAAGCAATAAAAGCACCTTTGAAACATATTAAGGCTAATGATATTGCATGGTGCAGCCCTAGAAAAACTCACAAGCCAGTCGTGAACCTTGAGCACTTCTGGAAGGTATCTCGTCACTGTCTTAATCTTCTGGAATTGCATTTTTGCACGGAGGAGTCTTGGACTCCCAAATCCGTGTCTTCAAAACCTGGTTGAAAGGAAGTTCCTGTAAGTAGAACTCTACTTTCAATATTAAATTGGTTTATTCCTTTAGGAGGGATTAGGCCCTGGTGACACTACAAGCACTTTTTGTGGAACGCCAAATTACATTGCACCAGAGATCCTCAGAGGAGAAGAATATGGTAAGGCAATGCATAAACGGTAACAATTTAATTGCAATGAATCCCAAGTTCAAGTTCTGATATCAGGCTGCTATGGATATTTTAATTAGGCTTACATATTTTTTTATTTCATTATGTACAGACAAGACTGGAATTCATTGCATCTTCTATAATTCCATTTTAGCTTTCTCAGATGTACTTGAGACAATTTTGGTATCCTGCCTCATAATCATGATTGTTTAGGTCCTATTAAAACAGGGTTTCAGAATGGGTGGACTTCCTACTGAGAGAGAACTCTTACATAGGACTACAGAGCAATGCCTGTCCCTTACACCTTGGCTTTAAAATTTCGGACTAAGCACTGTATGGATCAGATTTGAGTATCCAATCATGGAAGTCTTAGACTACTCTTGTTTCACATTCTATATGAGTATTTTACATATTATAATTAGCTGAGTGTATGGACTAAAATATCGGAATCCTGTAATTTAGCAGTATGATAATGTAACAATTACAACTCTAAACATTATTAAGTATCTTTCAGTACTAAGAAGCATATTGACATTTATCTGAATGTTGCTAATTGGAACCTTGCTGTTCTATGGCACAGCTGCAAGTTTTTGAACAAAATTACTTTTGCTAATTTTTCTCCAAGGTGCTCTGTGAAAGTTTAGTCCTGAAATACACTGGGCCATGGCACCAGTGGCTTCAGTGAAAACAGGATTCTCAGCATTTTGCAGAATTGGCCACTTAATCTCCATTGATTGTCTAGGGTTAGGCATCACTTGAATACATGCTCTGCAACTGCTTTACAGGGTTTAGTGTGGACTGGTGGGCTCTTGGTGTCCTGATGTTTGAAATGATGGCAGGAAGATCTCCATTTGATATTATTACTGACAATCCAGATATGAATACTGAAGATTACCTCTTCCAAGGTAGGTATAGTAAAGATATGTTGTATTATGTTTTAAATAATTTTAGTTTGTGAATCCCTTTGAAATAATGACACTAAGAATGAAAATTATCAGCCACCTTAAGATACTAAAGAATTCCTTACCCTATCCTTTTAATCTTCCACAAAAGGATTTGGTAGTGAGCCCAGTATTTTGCACAGCTATCACTATGAGCACAGGTAAAAAATGCCATGGTGTTTCTAATTCAGCATCCAAAACATAATTTTCTTTTTAACATGAACAAAAAACCCAAACCACATAAAAAGCAAAGCCATGCCAACAAAACAAAGTCAGTCTTCTTCAAATTGGACTTTGTGCCTGTAAGGTCCACAGTATAGAACTAACCAATGAAAATAAGTTTGAAATGTCCTTGGTTGTAGCTGTTACATCATATATTATATTTCAAGAAAAAAAATAGGTCATTATATTTGACAAATCACTGCTCATGTGTTACTCTTTCCCTCCTCTAAACATAGTTTGGGGTATTTTTTCTCTTCCACTCTTATTCTTTGGTACAAACATTTTATATTTTGTCTGTTTTTTTTCTTTATTTAAGAGAGTTGCAAATATAATTACTTTAACTTTGAATGTCTAAAATGTTCTGATAGTGCCTACTATAACACCTGAAATACTTTAGCAATATAATTTTTTTATGCAATCAACTGCTGAAGTTACCATGTTATAGTCTTATTAGTTGGAAGAGGTAATGGTTTATTCATTCATAATTAGAAGAGAGAATTTCTTTTAGAATGTAATTCTACATATGAAGATGTTTTATAAAAAAAACATTGCTTTCTATTATGGAAGGAAATTTCGAAGTGGTAACTGTATCATCTATTTCCTTATGGTGAATGTATGGCAACCATTTAGTAAGTTATTCATTAGAAGCTGTTTTGCCCATCAAAGGTAGCATTATGCATGATATAGTAATTAATTACAGAAATATTGAGTGAAATGTACATTTTGGGGACAATTCTGGAAATACTTGATTAAGAAAGAGTAGATTTCAGAAGTATATTGCACAAAGTTTTGAAAAGAAAGGTCTCATTCAAATGTAGCCTCCCCTGGCCAATCTAAGTGCCACTGTGAGCATTCCCAAAGTCTGTTGCATATTCTTTAAACTGCAGAACTATTGTCTAAGCTATCTGTTGTGGGGTGTATTGTATAATATGGTTTTTGATGGTGCAATGGGGAGTCTTCTACAGCATCTAGACCAGTATAATATTACTGGTACTGTTTAAAAATATTTTTATATATCCTCTTGTTCAAGCCATTGAAAGGATGGCAAATCCTTATTCATTGCATTTATCACTATGACACATATGGGATGAAAGATGTGGTCCATAAAGTTTAGACTATTCAGAAAAAGTTTAATTGTCACTTTACTAATATCACCTTTCATTTTAAATATATTAAGTAATTAAATATTTGTCATATTAGCATATGGTCCAGATAATAGCATAGATGAGTGATACAGTATATTTATTGAAATCTTAGTGAATATTATATAATGAAGCATAAACATATATGTACATATACTTATATATATTTTTTTAATTTGTAACAGTTATTCTTGAGAAACCAATCCGGATTCCAAGATTTCTTTCTGTCAAGGCCTCCCATGTCTTGAAAGGATTTTTAAATAAGGTAAGTTTTTCAATATTTCCCTTATTTATAGCATATAGGATTGGTAACTCAAAACCTTATTTTGCAGTGAATTAAAAATGTAGAAATGCCTTTGCTTACTGTAAAAAAAAAAAAAAAAAAAAAAAGCCTGAACACATTATATAATATAAAAAGTCTTTTAATTGCTGACTTATGTGAAAAATTCATAGTGTAGAGTTTAAATTTTAAAACTTGCTAACAAATAAAAAGTAGTAAAACAAACTACCAGATGGTTACTTAGTAAAATGTTCTTTATAATGAAACAGAGTACCAAAGTTTACCAACAAAGATTACTACTAGGCTGTGTTTTTATGAGTATTCTTTATTCATTCAGGTAGACTGGTTGAAGTTAATGGAATTATCTGAGAGTGAGGACAGCATTTTTTAAATATAAAAATTCAATTTTACAACATAGCCCAAAAACGATTGAAATAAAAACCCTAGTTTATAATGAGTTTCCAAACCAATTGCATGTAGAAAGCTAGATTGATTTAGTTTACCAATGTTTTATGTTTTTATTACCAATTCTGATGATAATCTATGCCAGTGGTGCTCAAGCTTTTGGCCCTATGGGCCAGATGAGTGTTATAAGGCAATTCACGGGCCTGATTGAGCCTGGTATACCAGGACTGGGCCCTGGTGTGTGTCACCACCTCCTCTGACCCCTGCACATTGGAGCCCAGGGGCCTGGTGTCACTCCTTCCTGCCTCTGCATGTTGGGATTTGGCCCTGGGGCCTGGCATATCCTCCTCCCCACCCCCAGGATTGGGCCCTGGGATCCTGCACCAGCACCATCCCCACCTAGCCCTGTGTGCTGGGATCAAGCATCCAGCCAAGCGCACAGGGCCCAGGGCTGCCCACAGGTCCTGCAATTTGGCAGCAGGTCAGTGGTGCCACTGCTCCCCTGCTGCCAAATTTTGGATTCAGAATCCCCACAGGCCAGATGACATGGTTCCATGGGCTGGGGATTGAGCATCCCTGATCTACTCCTGAACAGTGGAAAAATAGAAATGTTTTGGTTATGACAAGGCAATAAAAAAGGAAGTAGAAGAAAACATAACATTGATGTTTTCTTTTTCACAGGATCCCAAAGAAAGGCTTGGTTGCCAACCACAGACAGGATTTTCTGATATCAAGTCTCATACCTTTTTCCGCAGCATAGACTGGGATCTGGTAAAAATAATTACTTTAATTCTGTTTATGTGTGTTAAATAGAAGCATGTTTCTCTAGTGTTTTAATTAGTATATACATGTGTATATATATGCATTAATCTTGTTAAAAGCTCTGCTAATAACCACTTTCATAAAATTATTGTTACTTTTAAGTGATACTTTATCCTTGTGTAAAATTTATTCTTAGTGTTTAGGTTTGTTAAAGATTTACCTCCTGGTGAAACACCCACATTCCTTCAAAAACTTAAGTTGTATTTATGAATTTTATGTTTAGAAGATAAGTTTTCATTCTTCCCAAAAGCACTGCCCTGGTCTTCTTTAGAAAATAAGAATAAAAACTGTTTGAAAATCTCATGCATTACTGGAGGCCAGTTTATTCCTTGGGTTATTTGGTAGGCTGCAGAACAGTTTTTGCAGCATTGAAAAGTCCAGCACAGAAAAGTGGGCTAGCAAAAGCTTCCAAGATCAGAGGCCAGTGCCTTTCTTTCACACACAGTTATGTCAGATGATCCTGTTTATAAACTTATCAAGGACCATATTAAAACTGGCTTTTACTCCTACTGCTTCCATCAGAATTCAGGTCCTCAGCATTACTGCTGCAGTGGCAAAAAGCCCTCTCTGCCTGAAACAGGGTGGTTAGTAATTAGCTGTCACAACCCATTTAATGGGCAGGAGCAAAGTCTATAGTACCATGTAGAAACGTGGCACCTTAAATCCATGTGATAAAGTGATTTCCTTATATTTTAGAATGTAAAAGCATAGAAGTATAATACCTTATAGGTATGTTGGAGGTTTTATTTACCTGAATAGTCCCATTAATTGTTAATGTGGATAAGAGAGTGTGGGATCAAGCTCTGAAAAGGAAAGATGACTCAGGAAGGGATGAGATTTGAAAATAATATGATCATATAATTATGCTGTACTTACTTGTTACATTTGGGTTTTTCATTTTATTCATTACTCTTTGCTTGGGGTGGTTTTTAGTCCATAGTGGTATAAAACAAATTTAATAAGTTTTGTCAAAAGTTGTATGCCATGCATCAAAGTTGTTGATTATTAGATGTCTTGCTCTCTTCAGAAGAACATCAGTCATTTCTTGATTAGGTTCATGATTCTCATCAAGAAATCATTGTTAAAAGCTATTTTAGGTACTTCATATTTTATAGCTAAGGTACCAACATTACCATATATGGGTTTGTGAATTTTTAGCACCTAAGTTTAATGATGATGAGTGTTTGGGTTTTTGGTTGTTTTTTTTGTTTTGTTTTTTTTCCACCACAATATTGCATAATTTTGTGGAAAATATCATAGAAACAGGAGGTAATGACATTAACAGCATGAGAGGAGTTTTGGAGAAAGGGAGAAAAAAAGAATACAGAATGATTAAAGGAGAGCACCTTGAACTAAAATAGGATGATTATGTAAACCTGCCATCTTTTCAGCAATTCGTCATGTATATTATGATTCTGAGATGTAAACTATACTTAATTTAACATCTCATAAAGACTACAGAAAAAATATGCTTATTTTTGGCTCCTGTTGCTCTGGTTTTTATTTAGAAAGACATATTACTCCTAGTGTGTCATAGTCATTTAGAATTAGACCAAAGAACTTTAAAATTAGACGAAAGATTTTGTTTTGCAAAAATAAAAGGAAATTAAATCCAGTGGTGATAATCTGGAGGGTGTTTTTAATTTAGTGAACCTTTCATTTGAAATGTAGCTGAGGAGGGGGGAATATTTACAGTAAAAACATTCTGTAAATCATTTACCGCTGAAACACAACCATCTTACACAAGAGAACCAGAGCTTAACATAACACAGGGGGTAGTAACTTGCCAGGGTCCAAACTGAGTATAACCTAAAATAAGAAACAGATTCTGTTTCATAACTTAAGGTACGAGTAGAAGGCAGTGCAGAGTTGCATGTAATAGGTTAAGTAATGTAGAGTCGCATAAACTTTCATAAGCAAGAGTTCACTTTATGAGATACTATCATGGCAGTAAGCATTAGGCCTGTGCAAATAGGGAAGTATTCGATTGGGATTGGGATTTGGCCGATTCAGAGGACAGAGAGTCAATTTGGAGATTCAGATCACTGTCCTGAATCTATTTGGCCGATTCAGCGGTGATTCGGATCAGCCAGGGAGAGGCAGGCACAGCTGGGCAGCTGCAGGTTCTCCCGTGGCTTCTCCAGCTATGCCTGCCTCTCCTTTGGCAGGGGGAGCTGGGGCTGGGCAGGGCAGTCATGACGACTTCTCTCATGGCACCTCTGGCTGTGCCTGCCTCTGCCAAGGAGGGGGGAGCCGTGGGGGCTATGCACTGCTGCTGCTTGCCCAGCTATGCAGGTGCAGCTTGCTCCAGGCGGCAGCAGCACATAGCCCCCTCTCCCAGTGCTGCCGCACCTGCATCAGCCCTGGGAGTGGGGCGTCTGCTCTGCTGCTGCTTGCCAGCTGACGTGGTGGGGTGCAGGTTGTGGTCACGGCAGTGCTGGGTGCGGGAGCTCTGCCTTGCTGCCACTTGTACCCTTCCGCCTGGAGCGAGCCATGCCCGCATCCTGTCCCAGCTGGGAAGTGATAGCAGGGCAGAGCCCCCGCTCCCAGCACTGCCACACGCTCACCCCTCACCCCTCCGCCTCCTGCCCTAGCTGGGCAGCTTGTCCCAGCCCCAACCTTCCCTCCCCCAACCGCAACCCCAACAGACTTACCAGCTGGAGGCAGCCTGTTTAGTCTATGGCCAAATCTCCAAAGTGGCCAAATCTTTTCCAAACCTTTTTCCAAATTGATGTGGATGCTTCAAATCAATTTGGAGCTTTCACTTGGTCCCCTGATGCAGTTTGGATTTGGAGATTCGGTTCCTGAATCAGGCCAAATCTCCTCCAAATCAAATCAGCTACCGAAGCCTTGCACAGCCCTAGTAAGCATAAGCAGGAAATGTAAGGATATTGCAGCTTCTTATAAAAAGGTAGGTGGAATGATATTTCACAGGTTGTGAGCACCCCAGTTGACTTAATTGGGGGCTGGAGTTCATCAGCACCTCTAAAAATACTTACGAATTTTCAGATCAGAAAGGTACAAGAGGGATTTATCCTATGGATGATGTCAGTATTGAGATGTCACTTTACTTAGTATGAGCCAGGGACATTCAGGCACCTAGTAAAACAGTTTTCTTGAAATACTTCATAATATTTACCACGCTGTTATTTTTCATAAAAGAGCATGGTGTATATTCCTAGTCTCTATTTTTATTGCAATTATCTGTCACAATTCTACAAAATTTTGATCACTGTCACTGCTTAGTTGCTCTCTTTCTGTAATTAAGTCCTAAATGAATGTAGTCATAGGACTAAATTTTTGCTACTGTTGTAGTCAATGGAATTCTGCCAACTCACAGCTTAAACTGATTTTGAACTTACTGTTTTTTCTACTTCTTCCATATCATGATATCAAGGACTTTAGGTTGTTTTTTTTTAATACTCACCAGTTTGTCAGTTTGTATTTTGAAGTGTATGGTTTAAAGAGATAAATACCCCAAATCTATAGAATAAATTATCTGAAAACTATCAACAGGTCTGTCCTAACAGGTTGTCAGAGAATGTAACAATAAGAAAAGTTATCATGGGAATAAAACTGGAAGGGAAAGAAAGAATTTAGTATAGCTAAATCTAAGCATGCATCAGAGGTAGCTATTAACCCTGAAAGATTACGTCCAGCTACTAATGGAACTGTTAGAGATTTCCATTTCAAAAGAAAGCAAGCACCAGGTAGGTAGTGACTTTGCAGCTCTAGGTTTCTAAATACTTCTGAAAATCTGGCCTCAAATAACCAGTGCATTTGGAATGAGGGAGGAAGAGTAGATCATAGTAAGATCTTTGCTAGCAAGACGCAAAGGCTGCTAACATCCAGTGAATAAGAAGTTTATATGTATGATGTCACCTTTTTGTGAAGTTATTAAGAAAAGGTCATGGTTAACTTTAAAAACAATGCATTTGAAAAGTACATGAAAACATAACTACCTTTTTACTTTGGAAGAATAAGGAAAGTTTTTTTGGAATAAGCTGACAAAGGGTGTGTGTGTGTGTGTGTGTGTGTGTGTGTGTGTGTGTGTGTGTGTGTGTGTGAGTGTGTGTGTGTGTGTGTGTTGTGTGTGTGTGTGTGTGTGTGTGTGTGTGTGTAAAGGCTCAGGCAAGGAGGAGCTGTGATCTGTCCAGACTTCAACATAACAGTCTTAAAAGGTTGTTGTTGAAACAACTATACTTTAGAATTTCTCTCACAGTGCATTAAAAGCCTACCCCCCAGAGGTTACAAAGAAACCCATGTAAAAGTACTAGCATGTCAATAGTAACAGAAAATAAAATGTGGGAAAGCATGGTAATACACCAGAGCTGACTAAAGATACAGTTAAGAAACACAGGGAGGAATGTTATGGAACTTTTGGGCTACAAACCTATAGAAATACAGTCTATGATCAACTACATCCTTACCTCTCTAAATATAGAGACCTGAAGAAAGACAGATCATGACAGAACCACAAAAAGATGGTAGTTTCAAGAGAACAGACTGATTTCAGCCGTCTTTTAGTTCAGCAGATTCTTAAGGAAACCACCAGAGCTGATTCAAATGAACGTTGTAGCTGGATCCTCAGGTCTTCAACTTAAGGACTGCAGCTTTACCACCTATTTTTAAAGGAGCTTTTTCATGTTCTACTCCAGTTTGCACAATACCCTTGTAAAGAAGCAATGTAATTTGTATTCTTTTTGATCCTTTGAATTCAGTTTTTTATCTGTTCAGAATTCTGCTGCAAATATTATTCTGTAGTCCATAATTTTCAACTGTCTGCCCTCTTCTGTGTCCACTGACTCTCCCTTCTCCGTCCTATCAGACAGAACCTACTTGTCTTCTCTTTCAAAATCTTTACCAGTATTGCCTGATCTATCCCAGACAGATCCTTCCTATCTTCTTTCATTTGCTGTCAAGATGTCATTTCTGATTGGACCAGGATGCCGGCCTCCATTACCCACCTGTTATATTTGCACCTTTCTGCTTTCTCCTTTGCTGCCTTTCCTGCTTAACTAACTCCTTATAAATAGCCACAAAACTAATATATTATCCTCCTTCAAAACCCTCTCTAAAACTCTCTTTTTCCATGCTGCCATCAGAAACGTGATAAATATGGGGCTGCTGAAGTGCTGACAACACTGCCTATATGCTGACCAGTATTACCTGTTTCCTTATGCTCTTCTATCCGTATCCATTTTATGTTTTATACTTTGATTGTAAGGTTTTTTGTTATGTTGATGTGGTATGTAGTGCGGTGGCGGTCCTGATCTCAAACCAGGGTTACTAGGCATTATTGTAATACAGATAAATAATAATTGTGATCAGTCATATCTGCTTAGCTCTAAACTGTAAAATTAGGTGCTAGGTGTGGGGGAAATTCTCTGGTGAACTTACAGGAGCTAAAGTTATTTAAAATCTAAAGTCAGAAACTGGGCTATAACTGTTTTAAAATAGGTTCTGTTTTGCCCCTAACCCTAGGTGTGTATACACGTTAAGTCAACTTAACTAAATTGACTTAAGCCACGTCAGAGCATACACACATACAGCTCCTTGACATGGTGGTAGCTATCTTGTGAGCTAAGTCAACCTAACTAATGCAACTCAAGAGAATACACCTTAGAGGTGTATTATCTTGCACCACATGTAAGCCGATTCTGCTCCACATGTGTGTGTAAGCTCTGACAGTTAAGTTGACTTTAAAAACTTAAGTCAGCTTAACGGTCAGAAAGTTAGTACATGTGTACTATGTGAGTATTTTAATATACAGTGAACATTAAAAGCTTAAACAAGCCACAGGCACTGTTCACGTATTGCATTTCTGTTGGTATCAATGCAGATTTTCATGTAACAAATCCCTTTTACTGCTTAGTACTAAAGATACCATTCCACAATTCCTAAGTATTATAGTCTAAGCAGTGTTATTGTGTATGGTTTTCAGAATCATGGGGGTTTTTTACTGCAGGTTTAATTCTTATTACAGTGACCTGCTACTTCTGTATCTTTTTCAAAGCACTACAATATATAGGGTTGGGATTTAACTGGATATAAAAATTCTAGTTATTACTGCAGTAAAGTTTATGGGTTAGGATACAATCACAAACATTGAGTATAATAATATTCTGACAGTCTCCTTTCAAAGCACATACAGCTGTTATTAAAATTGGAAAGAGATGGAAAAGATGGCCCATTAATTCTTTTTTTTATTGGAGCATTCAAATGCTGTAAGAGAATCTTTCAGCTTTAAGAGAGCCTGTGTATTAAGTCAAATTAAAATTAAGATGGATGGATTTTTATATCACCTGTTAATTGCTGAGTATACTTTATTATAGTTCTCATTTCCTAACTCAGCAACATTATACATTAATCTCCAAAGAACATTTCTCTTGAATTTATAGAGGTCTTTTACATTGTCCATTACAAGCCAGTAGCTGAATTCTGCTTTGTTACCTTTTATAAATTTAGCTCTGAAAAGTTACAAACTTGTTTCTAAACAAACACAAAAATCTTTACACTTGTCTTATATCTGTTATAGAAAGTATCTTAAAATGAAGTCTTGCGAGTCAACGTATGTTGTCGCTCAGCTTGTGTAAATTTCTATTTTAAATAAGAAAACCAAGATTTTAAATGGCTTGCATTTAAAACATGTGTCTTGGAGGTAGAATTTCTTTTATATAAGCCATGTAGCTCAAATAGGGACAGAAGACAAAAATAAGTTCAATTCAAAGCAGAAATATTCAAGATGAAAGCACTGACAGGGAAGCACATAACCTGCGCATTCTCTTTTCTGCTGCAGTGGGTTTCCCTGAATCCTGCTCTATGATACTTTAGTATGCTAAGTCAGGGACACTCCTAGAGTCTTAAAGCAATGTTTGTGATTGGAAACTAGTAAGATTTTTAGGTCTTATAGAAGAAGGTAGGGACCTACTCACCTTCCTCAGAACCTTTGGTCACACGTTTAGCGCACCTAAAAAAGCTGGGCCATATGTACACACTAATTGTTCAAGAATGCAACAAGAAAGGGAGAGGAAGCCCAAAGGGTCTGTTGCATAATGATTTGACCATGGTCTTTTAGCTCAAGGCTTCAACTTCTGGTTTCAGCTACCAGAAGTTGAAAATCCTCCTAAACATTTCAGAATCACGTACAGGCAACCCCCGCTTAACACTGTTCCGCTTAGCGCTGTTTCAACGGTCGTTTTAAATTGATACCTGATTTCACTTAACGCTCAGCAAGTTTTGTTATAATGCTCACGGTCGCCATCTTGGGTCATTAAAAAAAATTGCGGTCACTATCTTAGGTTGTCAGATACTTTTGGTTTCGCTTAACACTCGTTTCACTTAACACTTGCTTTTTCAGGAACCAGTTAAGAGCACTAAGTAAGGGTTACCTGTATGGTATAGGTTTGGATGAGCTTCTCTTACTGGTAAAGATTCAGAGGGATCCTTTGTATGTCTGCACCAAGCTTCTTGTCTTAAAATCCAACAGCTACTCTTTTGAGCAAAGTATATGTAATTTCTGTTTTCTCCTGCTTTTTAACTTTCTGCCTCTGTCTTTCTGCAGTCCCCCAAATTAATAGGGACAGTATTTCATAGTGTCATAGTTTCAGGGTCGGAAGGGACCTAATAGATCTTCTAGCCCGACCCCCCGCCAGGGCGGGAGAACAACCCAAAAAAAACACCACCCTAAAAACAAAAACGGGACTCAAATGAGTCCAGCCAGGTAAGTATCCAGCCTCTTCTTAAAGACCCCCAGGGTAGGGTCAACTTGTGCCCATTATTCCTTGTTATGCCAGCAGGGGCTAGGGGAAACAGCGTCTCCCCCAAACCCTTCTGGTTCCCCCTAGTGAGTTTATAGACGGTCACCAGGTCCCCCCTCAGCCTTCTCTTGTGGAGGCTGAATAGGTTCAAGTCCCGCAGTCTCTCACTGTAGGGTCTGCCCTGTTGTCCCCGGATCATGCGGGTGGCCCTCCTCTGGACCCTCTCCATGTTGTCCACATCCCTCCTGAAATGGGGCGCACAGAACTGGACACAATACTCCAGCTGCGGCCTGACCAGCGTCGCATAGAGGGGGAGGATCACCTCCCTGGCTCTACTCGAGATGCACCTGTGGATGCACGACAAGGTCCGGTTAGCCCTGCCAACCATGACCTCGCATTGTCGGCCCATGTTCATCTTGGAGTCAATAATGACACCAAGATCCCTTTCCGCCTCCGTGCTCTCAAGTAGGGAGTTCCCCATCGTATAAGTGTGCTGCTGGTTCCTACTACCCAAGTGCAGCACCCTGCACTTGTCCGTATTGAAACGCATCCTGTTCCTGTCTGCCCACCCCTGTAACCTATCCAGATCCTTCTGCAATCTCTCTCTCCCTGCTAGCGTGCTCACCTCCCCCCAAATTTTGGTGTCATCAGCGAATTTAAACAGGTTGCTCTCCACCCCAACATCAAGATCGCTGATGAAGACATTGAACAGCGCAGGGCCCAGGACCGAGCCCTGAGGGACTCCACTACCCACCTCCCCCCAAGTCGAATATGATCCATCCACCACCACCCTCTGAGTGCGACCCTTCAGCCAATCTGCAATCCATCTGACCGTGTAGGCATCTATGCCACAGTCGCCTAGTTTACTAATTAGGATGGGGTGAGAGACGGTGTCAAAGGCCTTGCTGAAGTCCAGAAAGACTACATCCACCGCGACACCTGCATCCATGGCCTTTGTGACCTGATCATAAAAGGCAATCAGGTTGGTCTGACATGATCTCCCCCTAATAAATCCATGCTGATTGCCCCTGAGCATCATCTCGGATGCCGGCCCATCACAAATGTGCTCCTTGATGATCTTCTCAAAGAGCTTCCCCAGGATTGAGGTAAGACTGACGGGCCTATAATTGCCCGGGTCCTCCCTTTTCCCTTTTTTGAAGATGGGGACCACATTAGCTACCTTCCAATCGTCTGGCACCTGGCCCAAGCACCACGATCGCTCGTAGAGCCGTGCCAGGGGCCCTGCAATAACCCCAGCCAGCTCCCTCAGCACCCTGGGGTGGAGAGCATCCGGACCCGCTGACTTGAACGCGTCCAGCCCCTCCAGAAGCTCTCTAACCCGGTCCTCCCCAACCTGAGGTCTGAAGGCGATCCCCTCGCGTCCGGCTTCTATCACAGCAGGGAAGTCCCGGTCCCTGCACAAGAAAACGGAGGTGAAGAATTGGTTAAAGAGGTCCGCTTTATCCTCTGACGCAACCACCAGATTGCCCCGCATATCCTGCAGGGGCCCCACATTACCCGGCGCCTTCTTCATCCTCCCAATATATTTGAAAAAGGACTTTTTGTTATCCTTAATCCTGGACGCTAATCCGAGCTCTATCTCCGCCTTGGCCTTCCTAACAGCCCGCCTGCAGGCCCGAGCAGAGGAGGTATACTCCTCTTTGGAGATTACACCCCCCTTCCACCGGGCGTACGCCACCCTTTTGGCAAGCAGGCATTCCCGGACACCCTTGGTGAGCCAGGGGGGCTTTTGGACACTCCTGCCCGCCTTGCTTCTTGTCGGGATGGACACCCCTTGGGCCCCGAGTATCGTTTCCTTAAGGAACGACCACTCCTCTTGGACGCTGAGTTCCTCTGCCCTCAAGGACCCCAGTTCCTCTCCCACTAATCTCCTCATCTCACTGAAGTTGGCCCTCCTGAAGTCTAGGGCCACCACCTTGCTGTGGGCCCTTGACACTCTACGCTGGATGGTGAATTCCAGCATGCGATGATCACTATTGCCCAGGTGGTCAAGAACCTGGAGGCCTCTTACCAGGTCGTCGCCTGTGGCCAGGACCAGGTCCAGCAGAGCATCTCCTCTGGTGGGACTGTGCACCTCCTGAATCAAGTGGAGGTCCTGCAACTCGGCCAAGAACCTCCTGGAGCGGTCCGTCCCGGCTGACTGCTCCTCCCAGCAGATGTCCGGGTAATTAAAATCGCCCATGACAACTACATCCCTTGCTTTTAGTGTCTCCGCAAGCTGGCCTGAAAATTCCCTGTCCAGCTTCTCCTCCTGATTGGGGGGTCTGTAATAGACCCCCACCGTCAAATCCCTCTCGCCATTTATCAGTGGTGTCCAAACTTTTGTCTTGTGGGCTGGATGAACAGTGCCAGCTCCCTGCTCTGGCTGATGGCCCCAATCCAGCTGTGCAGGGTTGTACAGCCCAACCTTGATCTATCCACCTAGGGTGGGGCAGAGCAGCACCAATCTGAATGTGTGGAGTGGGAGGTGGGGAGCAGTCCAGTCCTGGTGGTCCCTGTCCCAGTCCTGAGCCAAACACATGGGGTGGGGTGGGGTGGAGCAACTTAATCCAGATATGTGGTGGGGGGTGGGATGAGGTGGCCCTGATCTGGACATGGGGTGCAGGGAGGGGCAGAGCAGCCCAGGTCCAGATGCGGGGGTGGGGTGGGGGAGAGAAGGAGGGCAGCCTGGTCTCAGTCCCAATCCAGACATGCAGGGCAGGGTGCGGCAGGGCACCCCCAATCCAGGTTTTGGGGAGAAGGAATGGAGAGGCCTAATCTGGCTGTGTGTTGGGGGCAGGGTGGAGCCTAGTCCCAGTCCAGATATGTGGTGGGGCAGGGTGGAGCAGCCCTGATCTGAATGTGGAGGGGAACAGCCAACCTCATTTGGATGTGCTGAGTGGGAACCATCCCA